GAATATAAATACAAGATGTTTTTACCAAGCTATACCAATAAAAAATTTAAATATCTCTTTAATAATATATAGCAAGTATATAAATTACTAAAAATCAAAATTCTTTTTCCTGATTTAAACATTAAAAATCACATTTTCTTTTCCCGATTCAAATATACCATTATATCTTAAAATGCCCAAACCTAATAAAAGACAAATTCACATTGCAAAACTAGCCCAAAACAAAAGACGAAGTAGTGATCCAACACATGTAGATAATGTCCCAAATACCAGTGATGATGTTGAAATGAATTCAAATGAAGATCTGAGTTCTGAAACTGGATCTGAAGTTGAACCCGAAGTTGAATCTGAATCTGATGATGATAAACCCTGGGAGGATATGAATATGAATAAAATTGAAAATTTTACCATTGTAAATAACATTTCAATAAAAAGCAGGCCTTTTTATATGGGAAATTCAATCAGAACACAACAAAGACGTTCCAAAGTGTTGAGAGATGCAGCAATTGGATCTTCTAAAATTACCGATTTTTTCAATAGTCAAACTCCTAATAGATATCAATCTGTTGATGATGACAAAGGTGATGACTGGAAAAATAGAATAGATTCTGTTGAAGAAGCTCTTAGAAACCCTGATTTAGACAATGGTGCAAAGTCTAGATTAACAGCAATCGGAATGTATTTTAGAAATTTAGATGATGGTAAAAAAAAGGTTGAAGCAAGTGAGATAGTGGCAGTATCTCTAGGTTGGACAAAAAATTATAAAAGTAAATGTATTAGAGCATGGGCCAAACAATGGATCAGAAACAATACTGTACCTACTTCAATGAGAGGAAAACATCCTAAAATACAAAGCCTATGGAATCATGAAGACATTGCTGCTCAAGTAGGAAGTTATATACGATCTAACAAATTTGATATAACACCCAAAAATTTATGTGAGCATGTTAATGGTACAATCTTGCCAAATATAGGTGTGGATAATGAAGATAAGAAAATATCTGAATCAACTGCAGCAAGATGGCTTAGAAGATTAGGATGGAAGTTTGGTACTTATAAAAAAGGGCTTTATTTTGATGGTCATGAGAGGGTTGATGTTGTAGAATATAGAGAAAAATTTTTAAAATTTATAGAAGAGCAATACGAACCTTATGCCCCTCACTTTGAAGGGAATGATTTGGAAAATAGAATTGACCCAGTGTTAGAAGATGGTGTTAAGATGAGAATTTTAGTAACGCATGATGAATCTATTTTTCATGCAAATGATGGAAAAGGTAAAGGTTGGATGCCATCAGGTGAACGACCTCTAATAAAGAAAGGCAAGGGAAGAGCAATACATGTTAGTGATTTTTTGACAGAAACAATTGGTAGATTACATCTCAATGAACAACATTCCCAATTACCTAAAGAAAGCCGCGAAATTCTTGAAACAGGATCAAATGTTTGGTGGACAACAGATAAATTAAAGGATCAAATAATAAATAAGGCAATACCAATATTTAATGCCACTCATCCAAATTGCACAGCTCTTTTTGCATTTGATAATGCAACTTCACATGCTGCCTTTGCCAATGATGCTTTGGTTGCATCTAAAATGAATTGGAATGATGGTGGAAGTCAGCCAACAATGAGAGATACTGTATTTGATGGTGTTCAACAAAAGATGGTTCATCCTGATGGAAAACAGAAGGGGATAAAAACAATATTAATAGAAAGAGGTCTATATAAGGATGGATTGAGAAAAGTATGTTCTGAATGTAAAACAAAAAAATTAAGAGATCAAAACAGAAAATTAGATTGTTGTGGCTTGAAAATATTAGAATTACAACCTGATTTTCAAGCACAAAAAGGAACTATCCAAGAAGAAATAGAAAAAAGAGGTCACATGGTAGTATTTTACCCCAAGTTCCATTGTGAACTAAATTTTATTGAGATGTATTGGGGTGCTGCTAAAAGATATACAAGAGAAAACTGTGACTACAGTTGGAGTGGACTAAAAAATACAGTACCCTTGGCCTTGGATTCTATTTCTGTTTCATTAATAAGAAAATATGCATGTAGATCCTTCAGGTACATGGATGCATATAGGAAAGGATTGTCTCTTGGTGATGCAGAATATGCTGTAAAGAAGTATCGTTCTCATAGAAGAATTCCTAATGATGCATTGTCATCAATTATTAATTAATGAATTATATACATAGTTGTTTATTTATTTATTTTGTACTGTAAGTTACCTTTAAATTCTTATTTTCTAAAATAAAATTTTCAATTCTTCCATTTGTTTATTTTTAATATATCCAGTAAAGTATGATACAGTTGTTATGAAAATTTGTAAAGTATAATCTATTGCCAAGATCATTAATGAATCCTCTTCTTTTTTTTCAATATCAATCACGTGGGCAGTAAAGCCAAGTGCTCATTTGAGTTCTGTGACCATGAATTGTGATCCTTATCTGAAATATTTGTTGTTGTGGAACCTTTTTGGTGTATATAGCTTTAGATGGTTAAACTATCTGATCTGGAAAGAGTTGTTACGTGACCTTTAATCAGAAAACATTATATATATATAGTTCTTTTCAATAATCAAAATTTATTATGTTTGGAATCTAAATTGCAAATTGATATAACAATTATTATTTTAGAATAAATAATGATTTGTAAAAGATGGAATTTTTAAATATAATAAATTGTATATCTTGGTTAAAATAAGATAAATAAACAAACATGACTTAGCTTTTTAATCCTTTCCTTGAACATGAATATCTCCACATTGTGATGATTAGCTTATATATTAGATATTATCATTGACATAACAAAAAATTGCATTGCCCAGGTAATAATAATACCAAGCATGCAGAAATAATGAATAAATCAATTAAATTAACCAATTAAATGGTTAACAGTGTCCAATCTCTAGTTCATGAGATAAAAAAATATAAATATTGATTTATTCTCAAATCAATAAGTCTTTTTTGTAAAATAAATCTGATGATTATTATGGGAGTCAGATTTAATAAAATTTTCCTATCACCAGCATTGCATTTTGGTACTTCAGCACCATGGAAATATTTTCCACAGTTGAAGCAATGCATCTCGAACATGCCAGAAGGCTTTGGACAATGAGGAGCCTCAACAACTGCATTCCACAAAAGTGTCATAGGCCATGATGCAGTTTCAATAAACCATGCTTCTGAAAATTAATTGCATCACCATTCCACTGCATTCTGTTGGAATCCAGGTTAGCCACACATGTACTCAAGGAAGGCAAGAATTATTGTAGTTTCCAAATATTTGTACTTCAACTTCTAGGAGCCATTTTCCTCTTCAATAGTCATATTGCCTTTTTTTACCTTCAAAATTTCTTATTAATATTAATTACAATCATATATATAATAAAAAAAAATACAAAAAAAAAAATACTTCTGTTGTTAATAAATAACATCTCCTTCAGTTCAAATAACAATACTTTGTCTTGTTTAAAATAAATTGTTTTTAGATTAGAGTTTTTAATTGTAAACATTGATTGGTTCAGATTGTTAATTCAAATTCAGCGAAGCACTAATTATAATAATAAGTGTAAAAAAAATGAATTGGTAAATTACCATATAGTATTTAATTATCATTATTAAATAAGAATATTATTTATTACATTTATTAAATTATCAATTTTAATTCTATTTTCTTTTTGTAAATCTTTAATTATAAAATCAAAAATGTATTGTAAACTTGTTTTTTCACTCATTATTATTATTAACGCGTGATGAAAGATTGGCCATACAAAAGCCACTTCAGCCGTTTACAGCCACTTGTTTATGGCGGGTGTAGTAATGGAATTTCTAAATGTTGTAATGATTGATGTTCTAAAAATAGTATTTACGCGATTTTAATTCGTGTTTCAAAGTCTTTCAACATTTTATTATGGTGACATAATTATTTTTAATTTTTCAGAATTTTACAAATGATATCAAAGAATCCTATAATTCTATAAGCAAATTTGAGATCATAATTTAAAGGTATTTTTAATTCTTTAAATACAATTTAAAATAATTTATATTAATATTAATTCCGTGATGAATTCAATTGTTAGGTTGCGCGAATAGATAAAATTGGTAACATAAGACACAATTCGTCAAAAGAGAGAAAAGCATTGGCACATAATGATTTTAAAATCAATATTAATATTGTTATGTTTTCTGAAGTTATATTTTTCATATCCAAATTTTAAGAGATTTTAAAACATTTGTATGGTGTTTTACTTTTACATGATCCTGAAATCAAAGAAGTGTCAATTTAAGTTATTTATTGGATATTTAATAATAATAATAAATATATTTTTGCTTCCATTGCAATTTATAATTAATTAACTTTGGACATTACCAAAAATAAAATTTATGTTCTTGTGAGATGAGCGGAGATGAACACAGATGAGCGCAGATGAGCGCAGATGAGCGGAGATGGGCGCAAATGAGCGCAAATGAGCGGAGATGAGCGGAGATGAGCAGAGATGAGTGTAGATGATGGGTACAAAATGAAAAAAAAATTATTTCATGATTATAATCTTCTTTATAATGAAAATTTTTGTTTTTCACTGTCTATTTTTTTATCTTTATAAGTTTAAAAAAAAAAATTTTTCAAAATAGTTATATATTATTAATTATAATAATAATAATAACTTTTGAATTGTTATTTTGGATAAAAAAAAATTTTTTTTCAATAATGCGGAAAATAATTGAGAGTGATGAGGATGGCGCTGGCTGTAGAAGCAGCAAGAATGATATTATTAAAAAAACAAGGTCTGAACCATATCATGGATGGCTGAATGAATTTTACTGGCTCAAATTCAAGAAAACCAATGGTGAGGTGATTATGTTTTGTAAAGTTTGCACATTATCCAACAAAAAAAATATATTAACAGTGGGCAGTAAAAGATATAAACGAGAGGTGCTGTTGAGACACGAAGATACAAAAGACCACATATCAGCAGAAAGGCCCAATCCAAATCAAAAAAAAATAAACGATATGTTTAAAGCATATAAAATGTCTTCACCAGCACCAGCACCACTGTCTTCTTCACCATCTTCACCATCTTCACTGGCTTCACTGGCTTCACTGGCTTCACTGGCTTCACTGGCTTCACCATCTTCACAAGCTTCACCAGCTTCACTGTCTTCACCAGCTTCACCAGCTTCACCATCTTCACCAGCTTCACCATCTTCACTGGCTTCACTGGCTTCACCATCTTCACTGGCTTCATTGGCTTCACTGGCTTCACCATCTTCACTGGCTTCATTGGCTTCACCATCTTCACTGGCTCCACTGGCTCCACCATCTTCACCAGCTTCACTGGCTCCACCAGCTCCACCGACTTCACTGTCTTCACCAGCCCCACTGGCTCCATCAGCTTCACTGTCTTCACCAGCTCCACCAGCTCCACTGTCTTCACTGGCTCCACCAGCTCCACCAGCTCCACTGTCTTCACTGGCTCCACCAGCTCCACTGTCTTCACCAGCTTCACCAGCTTCACTGTCTTCACTATCTTCACTGTCTTCACCAGCTTCACTGTCTTCAGCTTCACTAGTACCACCACTTTCTGGAGTATTGTATTGTTTATTTGAACAATGGTACAATTAGTTGTATTATTTATTTTAATATATCATCAATCAATCTTGTCTAACAAAAAAAATTTTTTTGAAAAGTGAAACATTCATAGTATTACTGGTAATTCCTGGGCTAAGAGCAGTAAATGATCTAAATATTTACATAAATGAAACAAACAACCGAAGAATTTCTTTTGAAGGAAAATATCGGAATATCAATAAAAACCAATATGAGCAATACAAAATTGAAATAGAATTATCAAAAAAGTGAGTTTCTTAAAATTATTTGATTTATTGTTAGGGTTTGATATTGACCAATTTAATCTTAAAAAATAGTATAGATCCTGATGCAAAAACTATGGTAAAAGTGGAAGGTGGGGTGGCTGAAGTGTTTCTGAAGAAAACTTTATTTGAAAGGCGCAAAAAATTAAAAATTGAATCCTTGTAAATATATTTTTTTAATTTGTAAATTTTTTTAATTAGATATATTATATATATAACATCTTCTTCACCTAGTGTTAAAATTGATCAAATTTTTTTTATTTAATATAAAATTATATATTTTTACCTTGAATAAAAAATTAATTGTGAAAACCAAACTATTATTTTGAACCTCTGAAACTAATTTAATTTCTGTGCCTATTTTGAATCTCCAAAACAATTTTAATTTGAAATTGAGAATTATTAACCCCAAAAACTATTTTGAAATTGCACAATCAAATAGATATTTAATAATATCAATGTTGAATTTGTCTTGTTATTACAAAAGATTAAAAAATCAAAGAATTTATTACAAGATATAAATTAAATAAATATTTATTATCTGTTTATAAAATTCTTACATACAATTAATTATCATTATTAAATAAAGAATATTATTTATTACATTTATTAAATTATCAATTTTAATTCTATTTTCTTTTTGTAAATCTTTAATTGTAAAATCAAAAATGTATTGTTAACAAATTGTAAAATAAATCACAGGAAACTGATATATAAATCGGAGATGATTCACAAAGTTACATGCAAATAAAATCAGAAAAACTGATCAAGTGATCAAAACAGTTCCATTTATTCAAACACCAATAAAATAATTGACTCACGGAAATATTGGAAATATAAATATTCCAACATTCTAAAATGTAACAGATGACAAAATCTCAGAATAATATTTAAATGAAAGAATTTTACATGACTCATGTTGACTAGAAATTACTTGAAAATAATTCTAGATGGAAGGTTTAAATAATGATTAAAGAATACATTAGTTAGTATAATTTAGGATTTTAAAGAAATTGGAGAACTAGATGATAGAAACTCTAAAATGTATAAATATGTTGTAAATTTCTCTTTCATGTAATCTTTAGTTTTATTAGTTTTTTAGTAAACTCAAATATTATTATAATAAATTGACCTTGTCCTTGTCCTTGTTAACTTCTAACATTATATTTTCGTAATGATAATAAATCTATCCCTAATGACGAATTTATACTATTTATCATTATATGTTTTTTGGCCATGAAATGGTCTATTTTATTAAAAATAGCATCATTGATCATGAATGCTTCACATCCAGTGCTAATTTTGACACTCCAAACAAATATGTATATGACACCAAAGAATATCTAGAATGGCCCAAGAGAATCTTTTATCTTGACCAAAGTGATTGTGTTCTCTTGTAAACTTTTTTCCACTCATTATTATTATTATCACGTGATGAAAGATCGGCTGTACAAAATTTTGAAAATTTCAATTCTTCCAATTCGTTCATTTTTAATATAAAAAATTTGTGTGTAACACGCCATTTTTGGGGGTTAACATAGTAAACTCGTGAAACTTTGAGAACTTTAATGTGTCACTCCTCGATGGTAACATGACATATCAACAAAATGAAATCATAGAATTGTAGAGAAAGGTCTTAGCTTTAATTCTATGATTTGTTTTTTTGGTCATA